AAGCCTTACCTCGGTCCTGGAAATAGGCAAAGTCCTTAACCAGAATGGCTTTGATCAACTGGACGTCTACAGGAACGAACATGGGCGTGAACGCCCAGTAGATGCCGCCAAAGCGCAGATTTTTCTGTTTAAAGGTGTTGTAGAAGTTGACAAAGGCGCTTCCTATCGGCACTTGTCCGCTAAGCATGTCCCTGGAACACAAGGGCTTGCACAGGGCCTCCACAGGCCGGAATAGTTACCGTAAATCTCCATAGAAGAGCTCGGGGTTGAGCTGCGTCACCCCATTTCGCGCCCAATAGGTGTGCTGTCGCTTCGCGAGCAGCAGCAGAAGTAAAAAGACGACACCAACCAAAACGAGCAGGAGCAAAAACTCCATTTTGGCTCACTGATAGTAAGCGACTAAATATCAACTGCATACTAAGATGCGCTTAAGTAACAACAGCCTTTTTATAAGATAAGTCGATGTCTTCACCGCCGATTAATTTACAGACGCAGTGAAATATTCCGCCTTATCACAGCTAAAACAACTGAAAATATTATTGTTTTCTATTTCACCAATGTTAAAAACAGTTGCTTAATTGCTTGGATCAGTAGCTTATGATAACCCAGATATAGAACCAATGGTGCGGTTGGTCCTCACCCGCCCTAAGCAAGGGCGTGAGAATTTTTGGGCCTATGGCCGACCACTCTGGAAAATGGGACAGGGCGGTTCGCACCAGCGGTGCACTATAAAAGTGGATTTTGCCTTCTTTGTAAGTTAGTCAAGGAGAAGTTTCAATGTTTGAGGCGTGATAGTTTGGTCGACCCAAATCAGGAAAACCTCGTTTAAATTATCATGTCAAACTCGGTTAAGTCCATTTTTTTTTAATCGAATCAATTTGGCTTGTGCCCTATACAAAATCCCCACACGGACTGAATAAAAAGAAGCGGTTGAACGACAAAACGCGGAAAAGTTGGCCAAGCCAATTCATTCATCGTTCCACGAACATCGGCGGGCATTACTCGCATTTGGCACGCACGACCTTACGCTGCTCGACTGTTTTTTTATTTCAAAGTGCATTTTACGTGATTTTTTCGGGGCGCGAAAATGAAATCGCGCAAGTGACGCATTTCCAACCCCATTCAAGTGCCGGATTTCCGACAGGTGAGTAGGGAAAAATTGGTTTAATGGGCCGAATTCGATGCACCTGGTAGCCCAATTCCAGCCGAAAAACTCGTTTTAACTGGGCCCAAGTGTAAATGCCCGATTAAACCAGTTTGGGCCGATGGAACAATTTTGCGCACACGAATTTAACTCGCCCAAAAAAATCACTTTTAATTTGCATGTGTATGGGGTTGCATAACCCCCACTGACACTTAATTAGTAATTATCCATCGTACCCATTCCTGTCACATCATTCATACAAGTGAAAAACTCAATTAACATGCAACAGGCGCTTCGGCACAATTTCTCCCTGGCTCGATTATTGAATTGTAATTAGCAACCGCCGAAATTTCGTTGTGGAATGGCAACAGGGCGATTGGCTTTTGTTCGGGCGCAGCCAATCAACCACCGGGAGTCTGGATTGGATCCCATCGTTGTGGGGCTGCAGCGTTGCCAAGCTGGGTATTAATTGAAGAAAAACCCGACGTATGTAGGTAAACGAAACGAATCATAATATTGATACTGATCTACTGGTTTTGCAGTGGAAAATCTAGTTTATTGCATATTATGCGGCGCTAAGCAATTTGCGCGATTAAACGCTCGGCTGCCTTCCGGGTGATTTGTAATCATCCGTTGCATAATGTATGGATTTTATTTAAAAAAATATATAACCCAATGAAATAATGCGCGTTTTTCCATCCGGGTGTCCAAAAATTCTTCACCTCGTTACCCAAAAACGCTAATTGCGAGTGATGGAACGTGACAGCCGTACAATGCTTTGCCCCGAAAACTGAATCGGCATAATTAGCGGCTAAATCAATCATTTTTTCGAACCTCGCGAATCTTGAAAGGCCATGGAACAAACATGCGAGCGTGCAGAAAAAACTCGTTGAACTCCAACAGTACCGATGTGGAATGCGAACGATTACTTATGGGATTCAGAGCCGGGGGAAAACCCTGCTCCAGTAACACACAAAACGTTTTTGTTTTAAACTCCACAAGGGTGGCTGTTGTGGAGCGAACAAGTGAATGACCCAGATGGCTTGCGACCTTGGACTGCTCCAAGCAAATCCTCGTTGCGCTGAAGAAAAATCCACCTAATTTGCATACGAAATTCGAGCCGTTGCATTTCAGTTCAATCGACAATTAAATCCGAAGCAAAGTGACACAGACTACTCGCTATCATTTCCATAACCAGTATATCTTGCCCGTTTTGGGTTCAGGTTCACTGGTTCATCAAACGACGCAATTCAACACTTATTATCGATCTAGATTCATTACCTATACGTACAATCAATGATCGAATTCAAAATGAAACTTCATTGGTGCAGGTGGACTGTTCCCCATGGGAAATAGTCCAACTAACAAGTTGGTTTCCATAGTAACCGCCCTTTGAAGGGCTAGGATTGGCTCGGAATTGGAGCCAATCAGTCGCCAAAGCT